CAAAAACGTTGATTATGAATAACATTGGTCGCGAAAGCCTACGTGTTAAACTAACCTCCATGGATTCATCTTCTTGGTTCCTTCGGTAAAGTCACGTAGAATGGAAATAATTAAATAATAACAAAAAATATAATAAAATACTATCATTTTATTACTTCCATTCTACGTGACTTTACCGAAAGAACCAAGAAGATGAATCCCTGCAGTCACGAAAGCTTTAAATCAAAATTCAACCTCCATGGCTAACACCGTGCAAGGAGGCCTTCATCCAGCAGTGGATGACAATGTGCTGCATTGTATTTTTTTTTACTAATGCGCCAAATATTCACTATTCTCCAATTAAGCAAATGATACAAAGAGTGGGAAGCATAGTTAAGGTTTGGTGTCCTATGGAGTGCAGTGCAAGTGGATGTTGATGATGCACGCCCATGATAGAGCACTTCGGAGGTACGGACGACGTTGGTTCCTGCAGACAAAAAGCTGTGGTATAAGCCGGGGTCCAGCGAAGCATAAATTCGGTGATGGATCGAGTCCTTAAGCTCAAGACACATTGCATGATACGTTGATATTGTTTATGTTGTATACAATCCGTCCACACGACTCCATGAGCTACTAGAGGCCACTACATGCACCACAATGTAAACAAAATAAGATTCTTGAATCGATTCCTGATATTGCATCGCATCCATTCATATTCACGGGGGGTGCAGAGGGGGGCAGGATGGAGGTGAGGGGTGAAATCTTTACAACCATATTAATGAAACATCCTGCATGGCAATGAAGTGGCCGCTATATGAAACAGTACAGCAAGCGGGTAGAATGAGCGTTATCCCTTTTGTATGCTGTGGTTAATTCCAGGTGGTCCGATTTCCTCCCACACGCAAAAAAGAAAAACTCAAGAATAATCTGGACAAATATCCCCACCAGGACCCTTCTGAAAGAGCATCTCGAGACTCAAAAATGAGGCTTTCTCGGGTTCAATAAAAACCCACAGAGCCCCCTTGAACCCACACGTGGTTTGTTGACCATCTAAACAACGGCATATTCTGCCACGTGACATCACGCGTTAATACGAACCTATTTTCCTCGCATTGAGCAGGCGAGTAAATGAAACGCACGTGTCAAGCAGAAAATGTTGTGGGATGAGAATTGGCCGCAGCGACAAACGAGTCATTTAATGGGATCCTGACGCAAGCCCTGCACACACACACACTGAGCACCACGGAGCCCGCATGCTGCACGGATATGATGCCAGGATATAAATCGCATGTTTGCTTTACACGCGTTCGCAAACAAACGTTTTAAAGGATAAATAAACTAATTATTTGACCAGCTCTAAAAAAAAAATCTCGCGGCGACGTAGTTTTGGAGAAAGTCCAAGGCGCACCCCAGAATTTCTGCCAGAAACATTTTTTTTTTAGAAGGGAGTGAGCGGTGCTTTTTGGGTGGCCAGTGACGGGCTGGGTTTAAGTCATTTTTAAGTGTTTAAATATTTCTCGGATACATATTAATATCTGTATTGCTATCTGATCCCCTGCATTTCATACCAGACTGCGCCTCTTGTAAAGCACCCCTTGTTTACTAAACCGCACTATACGGCCATAGCATTTGCCCGGCTACTGGCAATTCACGCGTAAATATTTACACGGAAGTATATAGTGAGCTGCACGAAGAGCATTTAAAAAAAATCAAGACAGTGGCTCCGTATATGCGAACTTGCATTTGTACCCAACTTACAAAAAAAAACCCAGCAAGACACAGAAACAGAAAAGTAAATAAAGAATAAATAAGGAGATATTCACAGCGGTGGTGGTGGTGGAGGAAGGGGGGGGGGGGTAACTGCGTCGTATTGGAGCTGTCAAGCACAGTAGCCCGCACACAAATGAAGTTGCACATTCGGTTGCAGTGAACTCGATACCCACCCCGCGCTGTCAAGATGCCATCGAGTGCAGTAATGAACCGCCCAATGCCCAGGCACTGTTGGCAACATTCAACAAAATATGACGGTGAACACAATCGCATGCACGTTTGTTTGCACAGACTACCGTGCACTGCGAGAGAGAGAGAGATATATAGAGAGTGATTTGAACATTGGGAAGCATTATCATCATCGTCAGTGGTGACTTTACATTTGGGTTGGGCTGCAAGCGACACGGGCAACATCGAGTGGCGGCGCATTGGTTAGCGCACTGCGCGACCAATCCGGTGGGCCTGGGTTGGATTCCCGATCATGAATAAAAATCACTGGCTACTGGATTTATATCTGAGCCGATCCAACGCAACGACACCTTCTTCACCAATCCTCTACCGATCGTCGTGACGAAGTATGGCAAAAACAAACGCTATGAGGGAGGCCTTCATCCAGCAACGGATTGACAAAGGACAGGTAACATTATACTGAGCGGTGACATAAATGAACTGCAGCTTTTGGTGCACCACAACTTTACGAATCGCCCTACGTGATGTGCAAGCGGAGCAGTGATGCTGGTTAATGAGACAGGTAAATGTATTTAGGCGTGATTTACAAGAGGGGAGAGGGGGAGCGGATGGGGTGGGTGGAGGTTCATTCCCGGTCACGGCTAAGATCAGTGGCGAGTGATGCCTGAACCAGTCCTGCCTGCCAGCTGTGCCTCTCCCCTTCCGCGCCCCACCTTCACCAACCAGCACAGAGAGACCGGCGTGGTGAAGTATGGTTAAACACCCCCCCCCCCAACCCCATAAAACCTGCACCGCGTGGGTGCGTGGAGGCAATCCTCCAGCAGTTTATTGACACAAAGGACTATAAAAATGCAAATTCTAAAACTTGAACAGGTCCATCGCAATGGGGATGACGCCAACATTTCGACGCACGTCTGATCATTCAACTGGGGCACCTTGATGCACTTGAGTTTCTGCTTCGCAACGTAGGGACTCCTCTACTTACGAACGAGTTATGTTCCAGAGGTCTGTTCGTAAGTCGATTTGTTCGTAAGTACAATTTTACTCCTGTCGATTCCAAACATGGTGTACGGCGTGTGCACTAAACACGAGGAATGGCTTTAAAAGTTGTATAAACTCCTGTAGATGTAGATGCCACTGGTTCTTCACGTTCTTGCAGATGTAGACGCCGCCACCGCCATCTATTGCGCGACGATTCAACTTACGACTCTCGGTCCGAAAAGTTAACTGGACATACGAACAGGGTTTGTTCGTTTCTCTGAAAGTTCCTAAGTCGAATGTTCGTAAGCAGAGGCGTCTCTGTATTCTCCCTCTGCCCCTTTTGCGAAATATCTGCTGCTGTAGAGCTACTGCTGCTGCTGCCAGTGCGAGTTTACAGCGGAGCATTGCGATGAAAACATTGTGGATGTTGTGGGGGGGGGGGGGGTATAATGGTTAGTTACTCGTGTGTGTGGGGTGGGTGGGGTGGGAGGGGGCACTGAGGGTGGTTTAGGTGGTGGGGGGTTAGGGGCTAAAAAAAAAACGAAACGAGTTGTCCCGAGCTCGCATGTGAGTGAACACTTGCACGCATCACCACGTTTGGCAAGACGCAACGCAGAGCAGGTTTAATGTTGGGGCTGTGAGATTGCAGTCCGCCTTCTTTACTGCCCACCCATCCACTCTCCCACCCACCCACCCACCTCCCCATCACCACCCGGCAAGCACAACCACCATCACCCACCCACCCACCAACCACCACCACCAACCATCTCGCAGCCCGATTACGTATATAGCAAGCGGCAGCAGGAGCAAGCATGCAGGGTACAGGCACAAACTAACAAATACAAAGCTTTTGTTGTTCCAGATTCTCCGGGATCGCCGGAGTGCATGGAGCAAGCGTCGTGTGTGGGCAGCCGGCTGCTGTTTAATGAGGGGGCAGATACACGCCCCTTTTCCCTTCAGCTCATTGCGTAGCTTGGGGGAGTGTGTGCGGGTTTTTTTCTCTCTCTCTCCTCTCTCCTTTTGCTTGAATTCAGCCCGAGCCCAAGGGCGTAATATTGCAGTATTTCTCCCCGCATAATAATATTTGCAACAAAAATCACCCACTTCAATTATGACTGATCTCGTACAGCAAAATCGTACTACAACAACAACCAACAACCAACAACAACAACAACAAAGGAGATATTATTTTTAAATTGTGTTGTTTACTTTGGATCAATGGAAAAATGGGAAGTTCACGAAAGTCGGCTTGTATTTTCGCTCGCGGTTGTGACGGACCACAATGGGTGTATTAAACACAAAAAAACATTCCATCAAGTAGAAAAAAAAAATCTTCTGGGGTTTAAACATTCTTCTCGACGACATTTGCTAACTTCATTGCGCTCTTTTCCGCTGTTAAAATATAACGGGACGAGAAGAGGAGGAGGAGGAGGAAGGGGGGGGTGGGGGTCCCCCACTCCCATGCACGCTGCCACTGCTGAAGAAGAGTAGAATGAATTAAGTTGTGCAAAAAAACCTTTGTGTTGTGTTTTTAAATTCGATTATTTAGCAGGCGTGACCGGCTGAATGCCTTTTCCCATCTATTATTTTGAAAAAAAAAGGGGGCCCGCTTTCAGAGTGTCAGCGAAAAAGCCATGCGGATTCTCTCTCTTACACGAGTCGCATTTAGCATGTTAATGGAATTAACATTTTTGCAACGTTTTCGCAGATTAGAAGAGAAACACAAGCAAGCCCATTTTAAACGTCCCATTCTTCGCGCACAAACCTCAGCGGCAAAAAAAAAAAATGTAACCCGCGAGAAAGGACTTTTCAAAAGAGTAAGTGACGCAGCCGCGCGCTTTGCGTGCGCGCGCGCGCGTGATAGTGGAGTGGGTCCCGCGGAACGCGATAGCCAGCTAGCCAGCATGCCTCACTCGAAACCCAGCAAGTTTCACGTTAACTTTCAACCTGCTGTGCACGTAAAATCAGTCTTTAATACATATTACTTAAGAGACACTCGTAAAGCATAGTACTGTAACGAATTTTTTTTTTACATACGAAACGATTTAGAAAAAGTTTTTAAATTTGTGTTTTTTGTTTACCTTCAGCTTGTGTTTCCCGACGTAAGTGTGGCTCCTTCTGGTGCAGCAGGAAAGCCCCTTGTAGAGGCTCTGACAGACTGTCGACGTCGCGTCGCTCCTGTGCCTCCACGCGCGTGGTGCCGAGCCACTGGGACATTTCCTTTGAGCCCTGGGCTGCCCAGAGCTCGTCCTGCCACCGGCGAGCGCGCACGCCACTGCTACGACCAGGAACACCCAGAATGCGAGTCCAACTGACATCTCTTCTCGCTTTCTCTGTATTTCCTGGAGGTGTTTCTGATATTTAACAAAAACAAATGATAACTTTCTTTTCTTCTTCTTCTTCTTTAGAAACTGCCCATATAACTCAGCTATCTGTGCTCAGAACGGCATAATGAATTGGTGCAATTTATATGGAGCATTAATCAACGAGCACAAACATAGCATGCGCAAGAAATAAAAAAAAAATCCCCATTCAACTTGAGCAACAAGTATGTTTTTTTGAAGGAGATGGTGATGAGGATCTCTGGTGCCCACGTTGACTGCCCACGAGTAATGATTGGTGCTGCTGGTGAACGCGTGTAAATTAAGTTTGTAGATTTTTTTCTCCCCCCCCCAACCATTCACCCCCCCCCCACGCCCCCCCCCCCATCACCCCCCACCCACCCACCCTCGCAAGTCTTTGGAGACAAACACACATGGGAGTTGGCCGGCTCAGCCCTTTGCTTTTAGACGCGCGTATCTGACGTCAACACCACCACCACCACTGTTTATTGAGTGGGCGTTTCTTAGCGTAAGTACGGTATAATGTCTAACTTCTTACCTCCACACACCACCCCCTTTCCCCACCTCCAAAAAATGAACAAAGCCTGAAATGTATACATTGCATAATGAGATGGGATGACCTGGCTACCAGACGTTCTACAAATTGTTCCTCTACTGTTATTGGCACGATGTAAGGTGTTGTTGGTTTTGATCGATTCGGTGTGATTGTGTTTAACCGAGCGACGAAATTTCACGACTACCGTAAAGTTTGGATCAAACGAGGCGCTCTCAAGAGTGAGCCGAATATGATGGCCTCCCAAACGCCGGTGTGCCTGAGAGCAGTTTCACGCTCATCCGACACATGTCGTGGGCTTTTACTGCTACACCCGCGCCTTCATTTTCAACCCCACCACGTTTCCCTATCTCTGCTGGTGTACACACGCACACACACAAGTAGGTGAGGCATGATTAATAAAAAAAAAAATTACTCGAGTATATTTATATAACGGGTAATATATAATAATTTTTAACACGTATTCAAAAACAGGAATTTTCAACTCAATGAAATTATTGTGGGGTGGCGGCGTTCGTATGAGCTTTTGTTCTCAGTAATTGATGGAAATTCCACATTCCCATGGCGTTAGTTTATCCAAAATACAAATATTGGAAAATATTTTCACACAGTATATTCATATACAGTATATATTTAAAAGTTGATTTCCACCTGTTTTTTTCGTGGAATTTCATGCTAATAATCTTATAAACGAATTGGTAAGTTTGTAATGAATATAATATTTAAGTTACCGATACTATTTTTCGATTTAAAGCTTTCGTGACTGCAGGGATTCATCTTCTTGGTTCTTTCGGTAAAGTCACGTAGAAGGGAAGTAATAAAATAATAAAAATAAAACATAATAAAATAATTCTCACGACGTTTCGGCCACAACGCAAGCAGCCGTCCTCAGGTGGAGAACAGGTCTCTCTACTTGACTTTACCGAAAGAACCAAGAAGATACCGATACTATTGTTTTTTTATGTACCCACTGATGTTAAGTGTGCTCAATGTTAGCTAATTTATGTTAGTTAAACAACATTTAAGGTTTATTCTTTGGGTCTTTCGGTAAAGTCACCTAAATAGGTTCAAAGAAAATAACAAAACTACGGCGTTTCGATCGCAACACACGCGTTCGTCATCACCTGATTGTGTTAAACCTGATGACGAACGCTTGTGTTGCGATCGAAACGTCGTAGTTTTGTTATTTATTGTTATTTTCTTTGAACCTATCAACGTGACTTTACCGAAAGACCCAAAGAATATGAATTCCTGCAGTCACGAAAGCTTTCAGTCACGATTTAACATTTAAGGCGTTATCCGCTACATGCTGCCGTGTTACTGTTAACCAGAACTACAAGAACTGGCCACCCAGAGGTCGCAGGTTCGACCTCCCGGTGTGTCACTTGAAACAATGGCACCGTTTTACTAATTCTGCTACGTCCCAACCGCACCCTGCTCCCCACCCCCTGCACTTGCAGGGCTGCGCTTCTGCCTTTTTTCTACCAATTACACAACGCTCGAAGTAAAACGTTTGATGGTCATTGGTCCGTTCGTGAATTATTCTCTGCGGAACTTGGACTGTTACCACTCCCTCGTCGTGTACGTGGGGTGTCTCGGGGTGTTGTTCTCGCTTTTTCCCCACATACAGGACACTCGTGAACAATACAGGACTCTCCCGACACAGTAGTCCTGGGACTCGGTCGGCTCTCCTCATACAATGGCCACGTGACTGAGTCGCCATTGTTATTCGCGATGGGAAACACCTGACGAGCCGCTCTATGTGCTGTGAAGAAGGGCCATTTCCCGAAACGTCGTCTATGATATACCTTTTCTTTTTGAAGGCAGTGTTACGGATGAATATATTGAAGGGGTTTTTTTTCGTATTGCTTTGTCAAATCTGAACTGGATGATGATTGTGTTACATTGCCTATAAGTGAAATAAAACTTTTATTTAAAACCAGGAGATGGAAATGCATCGTTAAGACGAGTGTCTTATTTGCAAAAAAATATTATCCTGGTGAAAATTATAACTCGGATTCCAATATGTTCCAGGTAGAACTAAGTGTCAAAAGCAACGGCTGCTAGAAGTGATGTCTTTTACAGGTTAGACCATTCTGAAAGAGAAAAAAAACCCGTCCTTTGTACAACAAAACGTGCTTAATTGAGCACTGGTGTTCGTTCGTCAAAGTGCCTGTGTCCTCTGCCAGGCGTTTACAAAGCTGAAGTGGTATTTCACTCCTCAAAGTGGTTACGCACGTTTTGTTACGAGAGGGCAGAAAGCAAAGTGCCGTGGTCGAGATGGTGTTTGTTGGCCGTTTTCACATTACACCCAGTAATGTCTGGTATTTTTGTTGGGCGAGCCCCACAGCGGAGAGGAATGCCTCTCTAATCATCGATTACACCTGCGCAGGGACCAGTGGCCCTCACACGGCAGTAGCCCAGGTGTTAGCAATCAGCTGCGGCGCATTCCAATCCTCATTCCTGAAGCAGTTGTTCACATTCTTTACACAGGGAGATACTGATATTGGCTGCTCTCTCCAGCGCATCTACTGTTATTATACATTACAGATAATTATAAAATATCAAGGGTAAGTGGCCCTTCGGCTCCTCGCTGCCAACAATATCAATTGTTGGCAGCAATGAGTCAGTCTTGTCAACTCCACGTTCACGTGGTAGGAGCCAAGTATTGATAGGAACAACATCGCAGCAAATTAATCTAGAGCCCTTTAACAATCCACATTTGGGCATGGGTTTTGTTGGTCATGAGGGTTGTTTGACCATACTTCACCATGCTAGTCAGAACGGGTTTGTCAAGTGGGGGGGGGGGGGGGGGGGTCCCGGGCCTGATTTAGATTTTTCTCGCCACTGATATTAGCCGATAACGGGAAACGAACTGCATCGCCGTTCCATGCCTGAAGATAATTTCTTAAAGGGAGGTCATTTGGCCGCGACATCGAGATCTATTTTTCTTTTCACTGGCCGTGTAAAAAAAACCTACCTTGTTATTTTTTAAACAACCTGATATTTAATTTAATAACCTCTTATACTTAATTAACCCACACTGACCGGTACGGTAAAGTATGGTCAAACAACCCCTAGGATCAAATGGCATGGGCAGGTCTTCATCCAGCAGTGGATTGATGAAGGGGCTGTACATTGTTTTATTTGTGTATTAGTTCACTCTTGCAAGAACCCGACAACATCCTTCGGAGGCCACTGTTGACTTCCCTCCCACAAAGTGGTACTCATTTTAAGTCACAACCGTGTGATTGTGAGTCGAGTGCTCAAACCAGAGTGCCACTCATACGGATTACAGATTGCCCTTGTCCTGTTCAGTTGTGTCAACAGAATATAATTTTTCTAAGACTAACTTCCACAGCACGTCATCAAACACTTGAGAAAGTGACTTATCAGCGCAGTCCTCTGTCGCCAGGAGAAATACCATTGACAATTCCACTATCTCCTTTTGCAAGTTGGAACCAATTAGGCCGGGTCAAGACGTAAGTGACGACTTACATCCAAAGCGATTGGAGATGCCATCGGAGCACGTGCGCACATCGCTTTATCATTATTCTAGGTCATCACCAAAACAATACTGTAATTGTCCACCATGTATCTAATTATGGACAAACAGTTAATTTGAGTATCGATTGACAGCTACTGGTTCTGTGAAAACTGCCCGTTTGTCTAGAAAACTAATTAACAAGTAAAACATTAAGGAACCACTTAATTACGTGGCTTAAAAGTATATTCCCGAAGTAGCATGGCTCTGTCTCGCGTCTTCTGGGAGATCTTTACACCCATCGCTGTGCTTTTTTGTGTTATCGATCCACCTTATGTCTTCTGGAGGCACGTCGCTGCCCTGCATAAACCATTTTGCCGTGCCTGAAATCCTCGGCGAGGTCGAAGAGAGCAAATGAACGGAAGAGGAGGGGCCACTCGGGAAGACGGTCAAACAACTATTGCTTTTCGATTTAAAGCTGTCGTGACTGCAGGGATTCATCTTCTTGGTTCTTTCGGTAAAGTCACGTAGAATTGAAATAATAAATTAAAACATAATAAAAGAATTCTCACGACGTTTCGGCCACAACGCAAGCAGCCGTCCTCAGGTGAAGACCAGGTCTGTCGAGGCGACAGCGTCTGAATGAAACAGCACACGTGCTTGGAGCATATATATAAGCTGGGTTGGAAGGGGGGGAAAGGGCGCCTTGACAAAATAATTTGCATATCAAGAGGAATTTAGCATATTTATGGGAAATGCATGTATGTGATTAGTACTACTTATGCCCGTGCATTATGCAGGATTAGCAGAATCAATTTTTATTATTTTATTACTTCCCTTCTACGTGACTTTACCGAAAGAACCAAGAACTATTGCTTTTAATAAGTTAAAAAGGGTTTGTGAAGTGGGGGGGGGGGGGGGGGGGGGTCCCGGACTGATTTAGATTTATTAGCCGATAACGGGAGTCGAACTCCATGCCTGAAGATAATTTCCTGAAGGGAGTTCATTTGGCCGCGACAACGAGATCTATTTTTGCTCTCACTGACCATGTGAAAAACAACAACTCTGTTATTATTTTTAAACAACCTGATATTTATTTCAATAACCTCGTATACTTAATCAACCCACACTGACCGCCATGGTGAAGCATGGAGATGTGGCCAGTTAGCAGAGAGCACACGACATTGCAGGCTTCCTGATAGCAATATTCATGATGCCCTTTATCTAGAAAGCCTCACTGAGTCTCCAGAACTA